CGGAGCGCAGCGCGCTGGGCTCCGGGCGCGGGCAGCAGCTGCCGGGCTCGCTGGCTCCGCGCTGCTGCGCTTCAGGTCGGTGAGGTGAGAGGAGGGGGTGCGGGCGGGCGCGCGCACGGGGCTGTGCCTGTGCCCGGTTCGGTTGGGTTCGCGGGCAGGCGCGGTGCTCCCTTGCCCTGGCCCCGGGAGCGCGGCAGCGCGCGCGCAGGAGATCCGGGGCGGGCGAGGAGAGGGCAGAGGGCAGCGGGCGCCCGGGGCATCTCCCTCTCGCCGGGTGCGGGGAACAACTTGGGCTTTGCTACCAGTGTCCGAGGGGGCACTTCGGCCCCCGGGCAGCAGAGGTGAATGCCGGGTGCCCTCGGGCTGAGCTGGCGGCTTCCTTTCGAGCACTGCTCCCCAGGTAGCTGATCTCCTCTGGCTCGTCCAGCCTCCTAATTGTGTGCCCTCGCGTTCATATGCCTTTACCTGGCTCCCTCGCAGCCTGGGTGCCAGGGAAGCCACCGCTACAAAATTCTCTGCAGGGGACTTGGATTTCACCAAGGGCCTTGTTCCCCAAGAGCTTGCTTTTGGTCCACAGGTAGATCCAAGCCACCACAAACCCAACCGGGGGACCCTGGGTAGCAGGTAGGGCAGCGGGAAATGAGAGGAGAGCTTGCAACCCCCCTGAGACATACTTTCTCCTAGTGAACTAGAACAAGGAGGTGGAGGATTTCGTGGTTGCTGTTTTCAGGTCAGCTGTAGTCTTAAAAAATGAACCAAACAAAGCCCCCAACAACACAAAAAAATGTTAAAACAAGTAAGTTCTCTTCAGATTGGCATAATGCATGAGGATTCATTCTGTCATTCTTTCTCTGGGATAGAGGGGCATGCGACCTGACACGCTCGCGAACAACTTCACAAGTTGCATTAAGTGCACGTCTTCAACAGCAGCAAATAGTTTTGAAGCAGGACTGCTGGTCTGGGAATGTTGTTAGCAATTAAAGACAGCTCAAAAATGCCATCCTTGTGTTTAGAGTGGTCTGTACCTATTAGCACAGTAGTATCAGGAGAATAGATGGCTAAAACCTAGTAAGAGGATTTAAAAAAAAAAAAAAATTTTCCAGTGAGGTTGGTATTTGCACATTTGCCGAGTGTGGGATTATTTCACAGCCTGCATTGACGCCACTAATAGAAAGGCTGGAGGAAGTGTGTGTGTATAGCTACAGCTAAGAACATCAGACGTTCTAGGAATAGGAAGGTGTCCAGCCAGCATGACAGTCTGGATAATTTTAGTTAAATGTCTTAAAGATAATAACATCTTATAAGATATGCAAATAATTATCAGTATGAAAGTAAAGGAATAGGAAGCAAAAAAATAAAAATAAGATCAGTGTTAGGTGCTGGTAATGTCAACACCAGGCAGCCGTAGAGCAGCCTTAAACTTCAGATGCTTCCACTGTTTCACACTGTGCAACTCCATTCCCTGATGACTTGTTAGGCTGGTGTGTGTGACTTGGATAATGTCACCTTAGGATGCACAGTAGACCTGAATGCCTTGTGACCTGAGAAAGGGAGAAAAAACTTTTGTCTCCTCCCTCCTCCCCTATAAAGTTCAGCTGTACAAGATCCAGCCTACTGAGCTTTGCACAGGTGTTCAGACTGCCACCCTTAGGAAAGACTTATTTAGGTGTGTTGTGTTGCACAAATAAATATATATTTTTCCTTAAATAGGAGGCTGTGATGAGGGGTGATCCTTATATGGGGATGAGGCCTAATGAATTGCATGCAACCTCCTTTTAACACCATACTCTCATTGATGATTTAATGGTTATGTTGTCCACAGGCCACAATCATGACTGAGGTTCTACTGTGCTAGGTGGTGTACAAACCCACATGAAGACAGTGTCACTGTCCCAAAGAGCTTGCAATCTAGGTATGTGACCTTAATTAATATACTCCCCACCCAGAAACAATTAAGTTCTTATAGTAAACTACTATTATTGTTGTGCCGGTTTTTAAATATAAGGGAGATGCATAGAGTATTGATGCATTTAGATATAAATTTAAGCCTTGAGCCTGTGAACTATTCTATGCATTGGCTTCATTTGAGCTGTGGATAGGTGTGGGTGGCATGTGGCTACAGAGGTGTAGTGAGCTCACTGAGTGTCCGGGGCAGTTGAGGGAAGTGGGGTGTGGAGGGGTATGCCAACCATTGTAAACTGGGGGAAAGAGGGGTCTAGTGAATGGAAGGGGAGTCTTATTTTCCTCTGCTACTGCTGCTGTATCATCAGCTCTAGTCAAGCAGAAGCTCCATTTTTATTTGTAGTGCAACTTGAATTTTCATTTTTTCATCAGTAGCAAATGCACCATGCTTATCTGTTCAGGAAATAAAACAATCTAATGGGGAGGACCTGTCTTTCCTTTTTTTGGGTAGCTCCTCCAGTAAGAAAATAAGTTGAATTGTACATTGTTGAAACTGCACCGTTTTCTGCAATACAGAATGCACATCTGGTATATCGTATTTTTTGTTGCTGCAAATATACATGGTATTGTCATGTAATGAAAAGCCTCTCGGAATGTATATACAGAGAGAGGAAGATTAAGGGACTACTAACTTAATTTCTGGACTCTTCTGGAAGGAAAAACCTCAAGTTTAGTGTTGTAATAACATGCGTAGCTTTCTCTGCATTTTAAGGCCTGCACTTGTTTTTAAAGGTTGAAGAAGAAAAATAGAAGTAGTCTATTTTAACAAACCTTTAATTGCAAAAATCACTAGCTTTTATTAGGTTTTCTGATCTAACAAATACCATGCATCTAGATGGTGGTTTGGTTTAGGAGTAAGTTGAGAATTTGAGCCTTAAGTTCAATAGCATGGAGAGTTATGGGCTACAAACAGGTGTTAATTTCTAGCAGTGGTGATTTCTGAGAAAATTCCACCACTAGAAATGTTTCCAGGAGAGGGAACAGCACAGGCATTCAGCCTGCAAACACCCCCTCACCTCTGCTCCTGGCATCTTCCCAGGGTGATCCTGGTGGAGGATAGGGATGAAGCAGTGGCTGTTCTACTCTTCCCATTCCCAGGGGAGAGTGGAGTAGTGGGAAGAAACTTCCTGCTTCCTCAGATTGGCCTGGCAGGGGAATAGAGGAGTGGGACAAAGCCCCCTACCAGTCCCTGGGACCATTGCCCCACTGCTCCACTCGTCTCCCTGACAGGAGTGAAAAGGGGCTGGAGCACCAGGGCAAAGCCCTCTGTCTCCAGTTGGAGGAAGAGACCAGTGTGCAGTTGCTCCACGCCCCTCCTGGACCAGACTAGGGGAGTGGAGAAATGTTGAAGTGTTCATTCTTGCAAGAGAAAGTCTCTTGCAGGGGATATCTTCCACATGTAACCTGGAAAATCTTTCTCCTGGAGAGGGTGTTTCCTCAGGAAAAAATGGAATGAGTGCATGTATATTCCTAGATTCTACTGGGAGAGCCAGCGTTCTTCTGGTAGAAATGTAATGATTCACCGGGTAGAAATGTTACATCTGCATGTGGCCTTAGTCTACTGAAAATAGGGACTTATAGGCTGTAAATGACACCTTACTCATTATTTGACTATGGCCAAGCTCACACTTGCAGAAATATACAAAAACTACAAAGCTGATACTATTTGTTTGATTAAATATTTTATTCCATTCTCAGTACATATGAACCAGGAGCATCTGCACCAACTATTAGACAAGCCAACTATTAAATGGTTTTGTCTGTCAGTTGTAATATATTTTGAGGCTTGTAAACAATAATCTTGTCTATAAAAGTTTCATGTTTTCTGTAGTTTTCTATTTCTGGAAAAGTCTTTTTACTCCAGTTACTGCCCAATCCACTTCTGCTTTTGCTGTTAAAGCTAGATGAGATCAGACTAAAAAATCTTGGTCTATTTTCCCTTGACTTTCATAATTTATTAATTCTGAATGTATGGAAACACGTGCTACATTATTATGTTGGCATATTAGATTTTAAAAGTAATGAAATATAACAATTACTGCACAGGTGAAAAGTCTAGGCAGGTTATTGCTACAGGAAAATTATAATGGACTTTTGTGCCAAAATAAAAAAGTATAGCCTCCTTTAAAGGGTATATAAACTTGAATTCCAGAAAACCCTGTGCTAGTCTTTCCCTTGTTCTATCATTAGTGATTTTTATCCTATTTAGAGATGTAGATATCATTTCCTGAAATACATATACTGACCCACCTTTTTTCAGAGATCTATCTTAATTAGACATTATGTTAAGCTGTCCTTAAAGCATCACTTGCATGGCCCTATCATTAAATTACTGTCAATGTAAAGGATTATATAATTTCTAAATTGTATTCAGTAGGAACATTTTTCTCTCTGTGGAAAGGTGAAGCTTTCTGGTTGTCAGAAGTGGAAAATAGTTGCACAGTTCTGAAAGTTACCTGGTTCTGGTGAAACGTGAATAGGATTTCACAATTTCATAGACTTTTTTTCTGTTCCCATGGAATTTGGCTAGAGTTGTTCAATGGCTGTCAGATTTAGTAACAGATGAATAATGGCATACCCATTTCTAACTCATTGAGCATTCAAAGTGCTACGGTGCTGGCTAAAATAAAAAATAAAATACAATACCGTACATATGTTCAGTACATAATTTTCAAATTTCCATGGCTGTTCCATAATTAAATGTCTTCAGACAGGCTTATCTATATGTCAACACTGAAATATTAAAAGAGCCATTGGAACATTCCCTATTTAATGAGAGAACATTTTCCTAAGATATGGGAAACAATTTTTAATTCTTTGGTAATTCAAACACCTGTATGACTCTTCTTCAAACTTTGTCTGGATTAAGACCAAATGTGATGAACCTGATTCTTCATAGTCTTGATCCTCACGTTATTCTTTATCACAGTGTAGAATGGGTGTGGAGCCCTGTTTAGTCAGAAAGGGTATAAAATGCTATCAGTTTGTGATAGCAGAAAGTGAAAGATAGGAAAACTGAACCTAAAAACTTCTAAATTACAAGTCTTCTGAAAAATTTAAAGACAATAATTTAACATGAAAATGTTGGCTGAATGTTGAAAGCTGCTTTGCTAGTTTTATATAATAGCATTGTCTGATTTGCTATTTTTATATAATGAAAATAGAATATCTTTCATTTGCATTCTTAACACTTGCAATATCAGTCTTGGTAAATGAAGGAGAAAATAAAGGATTGTACAGTTTGTACTTTATTTTTATGACCGTGTTCAAGCACAAGTTTCTTTCTGGACTAGTAAAAATGAACTGGCTTAGTGACATGAAAACTCGCTTTTAAATAAACTGCCTATATAAATTAAAGCCAAAACTAAGATATGATTGTTGAATCACTTTTGAACTTTGTTCCTAGTTATGTATCACATTTGTTTCCAGCACAGAATCACAAAAAGGGAAGCATATGGCACTAGAACATAATGAACATATTTGGACCTTTGTTCCCTTGGTCTGATTTCCCCTGTTAAATGGCAATGAAGATATTTTGCCTTAACTAGCAGAACATTACTCAATGACAAGGATATGTGCACTTTAACTTTTCTCGCTGCATATAAAACAAAACTGGCTACTGTTAGATTGTTTGTTCAAGTCAGTTGTATTCTCTTTAGCATGGTTTTATTTATTTATTTATTTTACATATTCTTCTCTGTATAAAATTTGTGTGTCTATTAATGTATGTGAAAATATCTAAGAAAAATACAATGAGCACAAGAGGTGACCAAGCTTTGTGTACCAGGAGAAGCTGTTTTGGTAATTTTAAAATTGTTAAATTGTAATTGAATTTTGGTCAGAAAATTGCTTGTGCTGCTGCAGACCGATTTCTATGTTAGTTTACATATGAGATTTTTTTTTTTTAAAGATAGCTTCTTTACATTCCAAAGCACTAATACCATTGGTGATTATGAAAATACCTGTCTATGTTTGCAGTAGTTTAATACATCCTATTGAAGCTATTCAAAATATGTACAGTTTTGCAGATGCTTATAGTAAAGTATGGGTGTATTTGTGAAATTCAGCTTTAAAAATTTGATTTCAGTGAGATTTAGGTCAATAGAACGAGGCATATAAACTTTATCCGGAGCTGAATGAGGTCCTGAGTTAGTATATTCGTATTGGGGTTTTGACATAGGGTACATAGAGTACGGTGCAAGTGATGGAAATGTGGCTTATTAAGATACCTGTCTTGCAAGATAGAAGCTGTTTTTTATATTGTCACTAGCCAATTGCCCATCAAGAATGATGGGGGGGGAGGGAGGAGGGAGATGGGATGGAGTGCCACCACCTAACGGCCAATGCTGCTGCTCTTCTACCTCTTGCAGGGAGCAGGGTGTGGGAGCCAAGGCCAGTGCTGCTGGCCCCAGCTCTCCCACCCTCTGTCCAGTCCTCGGCACGGCTTTGGAATCATGGCAGCACTCCCCCACGCTTGGAACACTCTGATTGGCTGTTTCAGTCAGCCAATCAGAGTGTGAATAAAGTGTTACGGTCAGACGGACTTAGGCTTTTATGATATTAGAATAAGTTTTACTAAGTAATACGGAAATTATTTTCTTCAACTAGCTCCATAATCTTGGATGAAGCAGTTAAATAAAAATAGGTCTGTAATTGAGATTATGGCAACTTTGAGAAATTAAGGAAACGTTTAATGTAGTTAGTTGGCTGAAGAGCTGCAGACCTTGAATATGGGAGAAATTTTGGTTTTGTTTTGTTTTTTAAGCCACAGGTGCAAAATCTTCGTATGTTCCAAGCAAGGGGGAAATATTTGCATTGAAGGACTCCTGAACTAAAAGGATGAATAACTATCTGGAAAAGGATATTGGACAGGATATTGAAAATGGCTAATCAGCAGAGAAGGAAGTATAGGACTAGTGTTAGAATTGCCAAAATTCAAGATAATTGCGG